GGAAACAAAACTTCAAGACCACGGCCACACAGCCCGGAAGACCCACACCAGCCATCAGATTCTGCTGAGTTTGACAAAGTTAACTACATTAGTTTAAAGTATATTTTTAAATGAACATGCTCAATTTCAGTTGCATCAAAGAGGTAAGTCAGGAAAAACTACGTAGATGAAGAGCTAAGAAATGCTAATTTTAGATTCTAAAGAATGTATGCAGAATTTTAATTTGGGGGATCCTAAATCCATGAACATGCACATCTTAATGGTAATTCCATTATTACTGGAAATTTGACATACACACAAAGGCCATGGGAATGCTTTAATTCACATTCCAGATAGGATGTGATAATAACTCTTGGCAATGATGCCAACATAGCAAGAGGTATTAAAGACTGTCGTCTCTTCTTTCTAAAAGAGAGACGCTTCCATGAAAAACTAGTTACTGGAGTGAAACCTTCCAGTTTCATGTACATGTTATTCATAAGTCCGATAGTTCTCAGAAATGTGAACAAAAACACCAAGTTTTAACTACTTTTCTTCTTCTGAAATTCACTGACAACACCAAAAGTTTCTGACCGAAGCAGCCCACAAACAAACTTTCAGTAGCTTGGGAGTAACTGGGAGTAAACTCAGGCTACCCTTACATCTAATAAAAACTTGCTCCAAAAAATACTTAGATTTGAAAATCAGAACACTATTTTTTAGAGTTATTGCCAAGTAGCCCTGCTCAGGTTACGATGGCCAACATATTAAACCAGTGGTTCTGTTTTCAAGTTCATCAATACTCTGTTAAATGATACTGATTGTGGGAATTTCCAAAACCAAATGTTATCTTGTGCTAGCAAATTGGTATCAATACTTACTTCTCTTTCTTTATACATCAAAACAAATAACACTCCCTTTTCAGCATATAGATCTGCACATGTATGTGCAATCCATTTTTGCTTCCAAGTTTCATAAAAATAGGAGCAAGTAAAATAACTCCTGATCCAAGTTACGTCCCAGAGAATATGTGTTTTTCTAAGCCATGCCTTGTGACTTCCCTATTATGGAATGATTCCTCACAGTGGTCAGACAGGTTACTTACCCCACCGATGCCTTCATGACCGGATAATGACTGTTTATTTGCTTTACTACAAGTAACAAGCAGGGTTGAAGCCTTTCACAGCTGGCCAAACTCACCGTATTCTTGACGAAGGTGGTCTGGGATGTGGGGCTCATAGCCCTCTTTCTCAGGCACTTCCACAAACTCATCATCATCATCATCATCATCATCATCATCTGTACTTTTCATCTACGATGAAGAGTTAAAAACATTCAAGACACGTTGGAAAAATCTAGCAGTCAATCCATGCAGAAGCCACGTATGTAATGTTTGCTTTGTTACAACAAACATGTATTTAGTGATGGAAGATCTGATGTCTCATTTCGTTTCCAACATTAACTCCCATATTATGTGAAAAAGCACAACAATCTGCCTGTCCATCCGTCCATCCATCATCCATCTCTCACGTGGGGATTAGAAATGTATCGGGGGAAACGAAATGATGCCCTCTGTCTCTGGATGAGAGACTTCTGGTTTGATCCAATGCGGTTCTTAAGTTTGCTATTAAAACCCTTTCCCCAAATGTATTGAGACAGGGGTGACAGCTCTTCCCCCACGCCAGTGTTTCTGACAACTCATATTTTTGAAGGGAATACAGCAAAACCTCTGGTTTTCTCAATGAGCAAGTAAGAAAATCAAAAAGCTAGGTTACTGTGAGAACAAAAAACCAAACCTTTACATGATTATGTGATGTTTCATACAATCACCTTGTGGCAACAGCATTAGAAAGAAGAATTACAAGCAATATCTTATTTCCCCAGACCCTAATAACACCTTTGGACTACAGAAATTACTGAAATTACAAGAGGCATACTGTAAATAGATAAAATAAATTGCACATTAAAAGTTAACTGATTCATAAATTTTATACTCGTTATCGCTTTATGAACTGCCAAATCTCCTACCGTGGCTACTTTCTGGGAAACGAAACCACCACCAGCACAAGGAAAAAAGACACATCTATAAAAGCTAAAACTACAGCGTCCCTTAACATATATGCCTAGGAATTATCTTTTTTTAAAAAAAGTCCATACTAATTTGCAGTTTTTCATGTTTTCCTACAGAACTTTACATTTAAATGTAAAAAAATTAATAGGCAGAAAGTCACATTTTTTAAAGAGTTCCATTCTTAACCTAGCAGTATCATACTATGCTCTCAGGCCAAAATACATGTAACCCTTTAGCCCTAATTTGACAAGAGGAAGCTGTGATTTTCCACTGCAGCCAACTCTTACCATTTACAGGTAGTCTTCGCTTAATGACTGTTCATTTAATGACAGTTCAAAGTTATGATGGCCTTGGAAAAAGTGTTGTATGATCTATACTTGCACTTACAACCATTGAAAATGGCTGCGCCACCACCCCGGGGTCACATGATGGCGATTTGTGATCTTTTTTACGATGGTCATTAAGCAAATCACATGGTCATTAAGTGAATTCCAGCAAAGAAGTCCATTGGGGAAGTTGGATTCGCTTAATGACCATGTGATTCGCTTAACGACTGTCAAAAATGGTCATAAAATTGGGTCTGGTCACATGGTGACTGAACGACTGCCCCACTTAATGACCAATTTTTCAGTCTCTATTGTGGTTGTTAAGCAAGGACTACCTGTACTTCAGTCATCTAACCATACATCTGAACAATTTAATTCAGTTTAGTCTATATCCAGATACGCTGAAAACTGACTCATGGTGCATTTTTTAGACATGCTGCATTGCTGGTACACTGCGCAACATGGCAGGGATCATTTTAAAAGTCATACCAAAAGCAGCAGCAGATTTAACAAATCATAAAAAGTGATCTCTCTTCTCTGCCGGAGGGCAGAAAAGCAACTGCTGCTCTGTCTGCAGGTCTGCTCCCATCCAGGCGTTTGCTCCTTAACTTTTGGAGAAGATCAGCTCTGCACCATCTCAAAGGACTTGGTGGGCTGATGAGATAGTCTTCTCAGTGGGCATGTCTGGTCACTCTGGACTTCCCTCCCTCCTAGCTAGAGAGCTATATCGTATGCTTCAGGCATCATTTTTTATTCCTGTATGATTCCTACATTGGCTGATTGTAATACTGAACTTTTTATTTTTGAGGTTGTGTTCACTGCCCCCCCCCCGTTTCCCCCGTTTTACTTTATTTACTCGTCGACGACGTTTC